GCATCCTTCTCCCCGCTCTCAGCAGACCCTGGGAAGGTCCTGGCCTGACTGAGCTGGTGGCCAGGAGCTGGGCTGCTCTTTTACTGCTCTTAAATGGAGACAGGGAAATGCTGCACGGGAGGAGGGAGAAGGGAGGGAGCACATGGGCTCCTCCCAGTGGGATGGTGGGACTGGAGGAAGACTGGACTGGAGGAAGGCTGCTGAGCCTAGCCAGGGCCAGGCACCGGGACATACGCCATGAGGAAGGATCGAGGTGCCCAGATGTTCACTCAGGGAACAGACGGTGACAGTGCAGAGGTGCCTCTGCGGAGACCTTGGGGTCACCTCCCGTAGGGGAACCTCCTCCCCATCAGCCTGCCTGAATCCAGGTCCAGAGACCCCGGGGAGAGGAGCAGGGGTGAAGGCAGAGCTGTGGCTAGCTCAGAGAGGCTCTGCTTGCCTCCACTGCGAGCAGGTGCTGGCAGCAATTCTCTCGTCACAGCTAAGGGCTGGTCCCTGGGGAGAGCAAGTGGTGTCTGGGGCTTGGGCAGCCCAGAGATACCAGATGATGTCTGGAGGAGGCCTCACTTCCAGCTTGGCTGTAAAAAACAGATTAGGAAAAACTTGTTGCCAAAGCACGTTTGCTGTGAGCCCCGTCCCAGGGCCCCAAAAGAGCCCTAAGGAGGCAGAGACATTTGATGACGGTTTCCTAGATCTGCTCCCCTTCCTCCTCCCAGCCCGGCCAGGCGCAGCATCATCCCATGCCTCCCCTGCTCCCTGTCTCTTCCCTGCTTTTCTGACACAGGACTCACCTCATGCCCCCTCCCAACGGCAGCAGTTCAGGGTGACTCAGGGCCAGAGGAGCAGGCTGAGAATTCAGTAAGTTACCTGGCTGGTGGGCAGGGCAAGTTGGGGACGCCGGCAGCCCGGTCTGTTCCGGGGGCTGTGGGCACAACACCCAGCACGGGGATCCCTCTGCACGCTCTTGCATCATCTCTCTCTCTTACCTGTCAATCCAGCTGTCTTTCCCCAGCTGAGAACAGGCAAATCCCCAAAGTTAAAGGGATGGGAGAAGCGGGCTGTGCGGGGCTGAGGCTCCAGTGTTCCCAGCAGGAGCAAACCAGCCAGCCTACCGAGCGGGGAGGTGCAATGGGAGAAGCAACGCTGCCTAGCAGAGCCACCATGCTTTGGACCAGGGCGTGTGTGCGTGAGATGGTGGGTCTTGGCACAGGATGGTGGTTGGCATTAGATACACGGCTATATAGAGATAACACAGAGAGGTTTCACTCGCTCCACATGGTTCAGCTTCTCTTTCCAAGGGCTGCATTCTGGCAGGGGAGGCGGGTTTGCTGGGGTTCTCGGTGTGCGCGTGTGTGCATGAGTGTGTGTGGTTTTCCTTTCACAGGGACACGAAGTCCACGGCTTGCAGCAGAGGCAGGGAAAGAAGAAGCAGCAGGAGCCACGAAGTATTCTGGATCAAGAGGCTGAAGCCGGCACATTTCTCCAGTTTGTCTGTGAGGACAGGGAATGAGGAGGGAAACAAAAGCTGCAATGTAATCCCTGAGGAACAGGGATCAGGCTCGTGTTATAAGGGGTACTGGGACTCAGGTTCCTGCCTGTCCTCTGCCACAGAAATGCAGCAAGTCCCATCCTGGCCCCTTGCCTGTTTCCCCTCCCAACTCGTGCACACGTAACGGCAAAGCTTTTGGGGGAACAGGGACCCTGGGATGCATAACCCTTCCTGTGCCTGACTGCGGTGACAACGGGACAGACACCTGGCAAGACAAAGGGGTCTGCAACTGAAGGGCTGTTCCTGCGGGACCTAAGCGTGGAAAATCCCCGCTGCTCTCTGCTCCGGACCACATACTTCTCCAGTGTTTCAGCAGCAGACTTGCCCCCTCTGCTGGGATTGACTGTGAAGCATCACTTGCGGGAGGCAATGTGCAAGCGGTCTCAGACCGGGGGATCTGATGAGGGTCTGAGGAGGCCATCTGTGGGGCTGACTGCTTGGCTTGCTGTTGGAAGGGCATGGGAGGATTGGGAAACGCTTGGGGCTCAGGGAATCTTTGGGGACACCATAGAGGGTTGTGATTTTCTCTGCTGGTCCTACCAACCCAAGGAGCAGGTGGAAAGGAGGTACTGAGGCCAGGCACTGCTGCCTGTCTCACCTTTGATGACAGTGATGTTCTTTATCTGGTTGCCAGTGTAGTCGTTAGTGGCTTTCACCTCACACATGTAGACACCTTCATCACTGGTGGTGAAGCCCTGCAGGTAGAGGCACAGCAGATTCTTCTGCATGGTGACATTGGCTCGGGCCCGGTAGTTGGTCTCGGAGGCCCTCATGGTGCTGTGGATGACTTGCTTCCTGTTGTCCTTGGTGATGCTGAACTCGTAGGTCAGAGGGTTGCTGGTTTTGTTCTCATAAAAGCAGTCCACCCGGAGGTTCTGGCCCAGCAGGCAGGCTCTCAGATCTCTGACCATCTGGCAGTGGGCAGCCTGCAGGACTGGGAGAGGAAAATAGGGGGTTGGACAGGGAACAATGAGCACTGGGGGTGCCCATGCACCCTCCTGGCCCTTGCCTGGCTGCCGTGGGCCAAGCTTGCTGGAGAGCAAGAAGGGGATGCACGTCTGCCAGCTGTACCTGTCAGGATGACAGCGATGCCAATGGTGGGGTTCATCTCTCTGCTGAGGTGCCTCACGGTGGCTGGCAACGCGGAGGGAGAGAGATGGTTAGCCAGGTCATTGCCACAGCACACCGACGTGGTGGTGCGGACATGGGCACACATGGCACAGGTGGGTGGCCTTCTTCCCATACAAATGACGCTCTGTAACTTGCTCCTCATGATGTGATCCATGGCACAGGGACCAGCGGGTGCTGCAATGAGCTGGGGAATTGGGCACTGTGTGTCTGCCCTGCATCACCTTTCTGTATCCCAAGGCAATGCTAGCCACGCTCTCTTTTGACTCTCTGGATCGCCCCTGTCCATATTAAATGAGCATGGGCACAGACCCGCCTGCAGCAAGGCCTGCGTGCACTGCATTTCCCTCCTGCTTCCTCCTGCCCAGGCTGGGTGCCCAGTCAAGGGACAGGCAGGAGAAATCAGGATATGTCCTGCTGGCTGCA